TGGTGGCCGGAAGCGGCCACTGCACTCCAGTCTGGGCGACAGAGTGAGACTCCAACTCAAAAAAACAAAAAATGATTAGGATGGTGATGTTGATGTTATGTACATTTTACCACAACAAAAACTAGCTGGCTTTCCTGCAGTGTGTGGGCCCTTGGGGGGCACCCTTCCTGCCCACTCTCTCCTAGCTGAAAGGGAACCCTCAGCCCAGGACAGGAGGAGCACAGGCACCCAAGGGACCCTACCCACTCTGCTCAAGAAGGCTCTCCCATCCACACTCACAAGCATGCCCAGCACGTGTGACACTCTCCAGGGCTTAGGACCATAGTCAGCTGTTCTCTGCCCACCTCTGTCCATTCACATAATCCCAAGTCAATCTTAACCTTCACCCTGGGCGGCTTCTCCCCTGGCAGCACTTGCTAGGAAGCCTCCATCCCTGCTCTCATTAAATCGTCTCTCTCTCCCTCTCCTCTCTCCCACTCTTTTCTCTCTTGCTCACTTTCTTCTCTCTCTCTCCTTGCTTTCCTTCTCTCTTCTCTCTCTCTCTCTCTCTCTCTCTCTCTCTCTATCTCCCCTCTCTCTCATTCTGTCTCTCCTCTCCCTCTCTCCTCTCTCTCTGTCTTTTTTAGAAATAGGATCACACTCTGTTGCCCAGGCTGAAGTACAGTGGCACAATCATGGCTCACCACAGCCTCAAACTCCTAGGCTCAGGCGATCCTCCTGCCCCAGCCTCCAGAGTCACTAGACTACAGGTGTATGCCACCATACCTGGCTCCAAACACCCCTCCCTGACATGGACTGTGGTCTGGGAGGAAGGGAAGATGCTAAGGCCCCACCACGCCTGCCACTCAGCAAGGGCTCAGTGGCCGCCACCATCTTATCATGTGCTCAGCACAGGAACAAAACCTGGGACTCAGTAAACATTTAATTTATAACGTACTAGTCTGGGAGACAGACATGAAACAAGCATTGGGGTGTGAGGTCCAGCTCTGCCAAGTCAAACACAGACCCTTGACACTCTTGCAGTGAATGACATGCTGGGTCCAAAGAGGGATTCGAATGAGAGGCCTTGCCCCACACAGCATCATCCAATGCGGTAAGGACGAGTCACGCTGTCTGCTGGTCTAACTACTGGAACCTACACCTACGAGCAGAGGCGAGGACCCCCTTGAGAGGCTACTTCCTGGACAAAACCTCAGATCAGCCCAGGCCCAAACTGCTGAGGCACCAAGGACAGGCAGTGATGTCTCACTCAGCATTCACTGTAACAGTGGCCAAGGCTGCAGGGAAGGAAGAGGGGGAGAGGGAAGGGGAATAAGGCAGCATCTGCACTGATGGCACTGCCTACCAGCCAGTGTACACCAGAGGGAGCAGACCCCGCGTGCCAAGCCACCACTTAAAGTGGGGCTGACAGAGGGCCCCAGCTGCCACCTCACGCCCAACCCAAGTGCCCCAGCTTTGGACGAGCCCTGACCAGGCAGCCAGTGTGTCAGTGACCCCAGTACACAGGGGATCCTTGGGGCGCTGCAGCTTCCCTGGCCTTTGAGATGCGTCAGGCATATTCACACTATCTGCTATGAAAGGAGGTGACCACAGAAAGTGACCCACAAGCCCGGAAAGCCACCACTTCACCCCAAAATGAGCAGCCACGAGGCCTCAGCACACAGGGTTCTGGGGCCGACCCTGCCCACCACAGAGGAAAGGCTTACTTGAGTCTTGGCTGCTGAATGGCCAGCCTGCCGTGGGCAGGAAGGATGGCACCGGGGAGCTGGCCCGGCTGTCATCCTCCACCTGCTGTGTGATGTGCCGCACGGTCTCCTTGTTCTTCCGGTTCTTCCTCCGGCCCGTGGGCTGCCAGCCATCCCCAGGGCCCGGATCTGAGAAGTTCTGGATTGCACCGTCCTTGGAAGAGGGAAGCTCACTCCCACCATACTGAGAAGGCGAAATCTGCTCCTCCTTGATGCGCAGGGACCCGTAGCCCACGTCTCCGGGCCACAGCGATTGCGAAGACATGTCATCGGGGCCGTCGGCCTTGGGCTCCTGGTCCTCCTTCCCATAGCTGCTGCCTCCCTCATGACAGCTGGCGATGGCTGAGTCCCCAGAGGAGTTGGCAGGACTGGTGCGCCGGGCCAGCCATGGTGAGATGCTCCTCCCAGCCATCACTGCAGAGATCAGTGCCTCTGTGCTACCGCCGGCCGGGGCACCGATCTCGAACTCTGTGAGCTCATCTGAGGCGTCCGACTTGATACTGATGTCCAGCGCAGCCTTGATGAAGTCATGGCATGCCTGCACGATGTCCGTCATCTGCAGGAAGCTGGCGGCCGACATCACCTCGATGACGTTCCTGCTGGTGAGGGCCAGGTGGGCGGAGTACATGAAGTCGATGATGGCCTTGAAGCCCTGGGCAGTGACGATGTCCAGGTGCGTGACAGTGGCCTGGTCAGACGTCTTCTGCACCTGGCAGTAGAGCGTCTTAAAGTAGCGGCTGCTCCCCAGCAGCACGTTCTTGTGCGCCTTGAAGACCTTGCCCTCTACCACCACACACACGTCACACAGCACGCCGTGCTGCCTCTGCTCATTCAGCTCACGCAGCAGGTGCCGGTAGTGGGACGCGATTTCCATATCTTCCTTCCGGTTGTTCATTTGGAAGCCGGGTGCTGCCTCGTCTACAGACTCTGCAGGGTGAGAAGGACAGTTACACGCAGTTTAGCTCAGGTAACTGAGTGAGAGGGCCCCAGCGCACACCTGCCCAAATGGCAGGAGCCCCAGGCTAGGACGGAGGGGGCAGTGCAGAGGGACTACTGGATCCACCCACACCCCGGGGCATAGGTGTATGAAGGAAATGCCTGTGCGTCCACCTTCTGCGGGTGGGAAACACCTGGAGGGCACCAAGCGGAAGTGTCTCAAGCAATCCCCGGTTCTGGGCCAACCACTGCCATGAGGACATGAGGCTCAGAGCAGAACTTGACACTCATAGGCAGCAACACATCCCAGAAACAGCAGCCACACTCATCCACAGCTGGAGCAACCATCCTACCCAAACTGAAAATCTGGGTGAAATGACATAAGTTGTGGCCTTCATTCCTCACGCTTGAAGAAACATCCTTTAAAAAGATAAAAAATGAAACCTCCTATACAGAAAACCTATAGAGCAGAGAGGACTTAACATAGACAGTCATGGTCTTAACCCTAGAAAGTGCCAAAGGGCTGAGCTCAGCCAGCTCAAGTCTGCTGGAGAGAGGAATGTCCTGGTGTACTGTGAGGTCCCACCTGGCACTGGCAGGGGCAGCAGGGATGGGCTTGACCCCGAGAGACTTCCGGAACCCATGGGGCATGTGAGAGCATCACTCCTGTATCAGATGGCAGTTCTGCTCCACGGAGTCACAGAAGACCTGCACGCCCCTCAATGGGGGCCATCATGTTCTCCTTGGACTCAGTGACCTTAGCCCTGTTCCCTCATTCTAGCTCTCATTCAGCCATCCTCATTCCCAGGGCCACCAAGATAAAGCACCACAGATGGGCGGCTTACACAGGAGTCCAAAACCAAGATGTCAGCAGGGCTGGGGGTCTGCTGAAGGATCTGCCACGACCTTTGGCATTCAGAGTGGAAGCATCACCTGACCCACAGGAAGCTTTTGGAGAATACCTGAATCTACATTTCCAATTTGACAACCTCTCAGCACCAGTGCTCGAGTGGCAGCTGCAACACTCACAATGGAAGCACCGTGAGTACCACAGGGTCTGTCAGCTACTGCTCAGCAGGTAAGGAGCAGACAGCCTACAATGTGGTTTCTTTGTGGGAATCCCCTGTCCTGGTGGTATGTCTCATCTAATGGAGACACACCTGCTCACAGGACACACCTAGGGATAGACACAGTATATTCATGTGACACACCTGCTCATAGAGCACACATGCTCACAGGACACACTTGTTCACAAGACACACACATGTTCCCAGGACACAGCTGTGGACAGACATGGGTACATTCATGGGACACACCTGTTCGCATCTGTTCCCAGGACATGTGCCCATAGACACTCCCTCCCCCTGAACCTCCCATGCTTCTGCACAGAATCACAGGCACTGGGTTCCCAGATTGCATGTGGCACCCGTGTGTGAGGAGCCCTTTCAGAAAGGAGCCTCCCATGCACAAAAGGACACAGATGTGGGTCACGAATGGCGGGGTGCTGAAGGCTGAGCAAGACCACGGGGCAGCATAGATGGCACTATGGCTGCACAAGTGTCACCCAAGGAGCCACCACTTGTGCTGTTTTTTCCAAATGCCACTTCTGTGTTTTCCTACAGGTCCTGATCGTCTGTCTTACAGCTGGAAAGTCTCTAGGTCCTTCCATTTCAACCAGAAACACACACAAGTCAGGCATCAGCATCAGTGCCACATGACCAACAATGTAAAACCTCCCTTCAGACCACATGGCACAAGCTGCATGACCCTGCCCAGTGCTAGGGACAACCAAGTGGCCCAGGTGACAAAGGACAACAGAGGAGGAGCCATACTGCCTGGCGACATCTGGTGCTTTGGGCTTTTCTGCACCATTTCCAATCCCAGCTGCCACTAAGAGAGGCAGAGGTGGCCTCCACACAGCACAATGACAGGCCTGTGGCACCCCAGCCAGATACAGATGGGTGCAGAACCCATGGGTGCAGAGCTGCTGGTTCAGAGCCAGGTGCCTCCTGCATCTTCCCATCCTTGCTGGCTCAGAGGCAACAGTAGCACTGAGGCCACCACCAACCCAGGGACCTGGGCACAGTTGTAGCACTCATACCTGCAGCAGAACTGCCAGCAAACCCGCCCGCCATGCACCCTCATCTTCCTCCTCTCCCAGGGTAGGGGCGTCATCAGGTGGTGTCTTGGGATGGGACAAGTTGCTGCTGTCAGTCAACCGTGTTACGGTACCAAGTCCTCGTGGCCCAGTCTCTAGACCGTCTTGGAGGCAACGGGCAGCGTCACACCCTCTCCCACCATGCCGAAGGGGAAGGGCCCAGCCCCCATGGCCTCTACCATGCTGAGAGGACCTGCCACTGAGACATGTAGGTGTTACTCACTTGGGCTGCTTTGTGCCACCGTTAATGCTTCACAGGAGAGGCCAGAGGATTGCGTCATGAGACGCACACGAACCGTGAAATACAAAGGCTGCTATGAATACACTGAATTTGCCGCCCTATGTGTTTATTTAGGAAGGAGGAGGGGATCATTTTCCCCCATCCCCAAGGGGCTCTACCAGGAAGGCAGCTTGTTCTAATACAAATGTAAAACAGTGGATGTAATTTAGCGGTGTCTTGGTCACGTCGTCATGGTCACCGGCTCCGTGCAGGGTGCACAGCTCTCGCTCCAGGACAGGTCCTGGGGAGCGGCCTCAGGCGCCCCCTGCTGACCGGCCTGCGGCATCCCGGCCCTGCGGCTCACAGGGTCCAGCCACTGTGATGCTGGGGAGAGACCCACCGCCTCTGGAATTTTGCCACCACACTCACCCCACCTCACTGTCCTACCTGACATAGGACATCCTCATTTCAGTCAGGCTTGCATTAAATGCTTTATTTAAACTTTGCTTAAGATGTAATCAACACACAAATCCCTATTGTAAAGTGGAAGCAAGACGCCCTTGGCTCTGGACCCTACCGCCAGGGCAGGAAGGCCCAGGGGGGAGAGGGGAGAACTCAGACGTCTGTCCCGCCAATCCTGACTCGGCTGTGCTAAGATTGCTCTTCACAATCATTCTGGTGAAAACGTCTGAATGGACACTTTGAACAGACACATCTCAAAGAAGACACGTCAATGGCTAAACACAGACAGATGTGCAACTTCATCAGGCACCAGGAACATGCAAACAAAATCCGCAGAGCTCCCACTGCACACCCACCAGAAGGGCTAAGGCAGAAGGAGCCACCACCCTGAGTGCCGGTAAGCACGTGGTGCCACAGAGCCCTCCAACCGCTGGTGGGTACAGGATGTCCTCACAAGACAGCTGGCGCATCTTCAGAAGCCAGACACGGCCTGACAGTTCCAGTGCTGGGGACCCACCCAGAAGTGAAAACATACATACACACACACATACACACATCCAGAGTCACTTCCTTTGAATCGGGCAAACCAGAAACAACCCAAATGCGCACCAACAGGTGGACAGACAGACACAGTAGGGTGTTTCCAAGCAATAGGACACAGCGATGTCCCATGAAAAGGAAGCAGCTCCAGCCCAGGCCCTCAGGGTACCTCCCCACCCAAGTGGTATGTCCACACAACATGGATGAGTCTCAAAATCATGACACTGAGTGCAAGATGACAGGCAGCAAGGAAGGGTGCAACTCACTTCACATGAAACTCCAGAAAACAGAAACACATCAGTAGCAGAAGGCCTTGTCTAGGTTGGTGGGCTTGAGGAGACTTCGTGGGTGCAAGGATGTCCTATGTCTGGATGCTCCTGGTAGTTTCATGCAAGTACACAAACTCATCAGATTACACTCTTCAAACAAGTGTAATTTATTGTATATAAATTATACCTCAATAAAGATCAGAAATTGGGCCAGGCACTGTGGCTCACGGCTGCCATTGGGAGGCCAAGGTGGGAGGATTACTTGAGCCCAGAAGTTCGAGACCATCATGGGCAATATAGCAAGACCTCGTCTCTATGAAAAATAATTTTTTAAGAATTAACCAGGTGTAGGGGTGCTTTTATTTTCTGCTACTTGGGAGACTGAAGCAGAAGAATTGTCTGATCCCGGAGGTTGAGGCTGTGGTGAGCTGTAATCATGTCACTGCACTCCTGCCTGGGCGACAGAATGAGACCTCAACTCAAATTAAAAAAAGATTAGAAATTGATTTTTGGGCTGGGATCAGTGGCTCAGCCTATAATCCCAGCACTTTGGGAGGCCAAGACAAGTGGATTGCCTGAGACTGCAGGTTCAAGACCCACCCAGACACCTTGGCAAGACCTCATCTCTACAATATTTTTTTTAAAAAATTAGCCAGACATGGTAGCACACATCTGTAATTCTGGCTACTTGGAAGGCTGAGATGGAAGGATCACCAGAGCCCAGCAGGTCGAGGCTGTGGTGGCCAGGAGTGTGTCACTTGCACTCTAGTCTGGCGACAGAGTGAGACTCCAACTCAATTAAAAGAAAATAATTTTTGTAAAAATATTCCTGCTCAACTATGGTCCTGTGCTTATCTATCCAAGGAATGCACTGCCACTTGTTATGGGCTGAATTGTACCCCCCCCACCCAAAATTCACATGTTGAATTCTTAACTCCCAGTACCTCAGAATATGATCTTATTTGGAAAGAGGTCACTGCAGATGTAATAGCTAAACTAAGATGGGGTCACTGGGTGGCCCCTAATCTAGTAGAAAGGATGCCCTTAGGAAAAGGGGGGATTTGAGTCCAACATGCACAGGACGATGGCCGTGTGCAGGCTGATGGCCATGTGCAGGCTGGAGTGAAGTTGCCATGGCCCAGGATGCACCGGAGTCTGCAGAAAGGCCTGGACCAGCCCAGGCGCGCTCTGAGGGAGGTGTCCACACTTGGACCTCGGACTTCCAACTTGAGGAATTAATATCTGTTAAGACATTCCATTTGTGGTTCCTAGTAGCAACAACTCCAGGACACGGACATGCCATTCCTACCCTCCAGGAGCACTATGCAGAGGCCCAGCTCCTCAGTTGATGGGTGTCCCTGCTCATTCTTGCCAGGAAAGCCCCAGCTTGCCCAATGTCCCTTGGGTAGGAACCCAGCAGCCTCCAGACCCTCCCTGGATGGGCATCATCCACACACCACAGTGCTTAAGGGCTTTACTTTCTTCTGGAAAAGCCAAGGTTCAGATGTAAGCAGTGCAAAATTACCATACAAACTGAGATTTATATATATCATATTACCATTGCTCATGACTACACTTTAAATAATTTTTTTTTAGTTGGAGTCTTACTCTGTCCCCCAGGCTAGAGGGCAGTGGCATGCTCACGGCCACCGCAGCCTTGACCTGCTGGGCTCAGATGATCCTTCTACCTAAGCATTCCAAGTAACTGGAACCATAGGCACACACTACCACACTGGCTTATTTTTTGATTTGTAGAGATGAGGTCTTGCCACTCTGCCCAGGCTGGTCTCGAACTCCTGGGCTCAGGCAATCCTCTTGCCTCAGTCCCCTAAAGTGCTGAGATGACAGGCATAAGTCACTGTGCCCGGTTAAAATGTTTAAACATGCTTCTGGCTGGAAAAATAACACTCTAAGACACGTTGACAGATTTCGCCTTTGGACAGTGACGCAGGTGTACTCCTCAAGCTTTGCCTGGTGAGCAGACATGGCTCAGGTGCTGGGGACTTCAGGTTCTCCACACTGCAGCCCATGTGCTCTTCTGGAAATGCAGAGCTGTGCCTGGTGCCCAGCTGCCCAGTCCTCCTCCCACCTGCCACAGGCCTCTCTTGGTTCCTTTCCCTCTGTCCTGACTGCATGCCTGGGCGGCCTCCTCTGCCTACCACACCTGCACGGTGTCACTTCCCTCTTTCTGGGTTCCCAGGCCACCCCTGGCTTCCATTTTCCAGGTCCCACTTGCTGTCCCTGCCCTGCCCTGTCTCAGCCAGGACAGCACCACTCGGTGGCCGAGACCACAGAAGAGGCCTGAGGAGCCACCACACTGGAATTGGCCAGAATGTCCCCCACACAGACCCCAGCCTGTGCTTCCTGCCCAAGAGAATGAGGCCAAAGACTCATGACCGTCCTGACCTGAGCCTAACTGGGACCCTGATGTGAGCTTGTTCCTGCCTGGCTCTTCCCAGTCGAGCCTAGCCTCCCGCAAACTGCCACGCGCTGACCCGAGTGGCCACCCTGGCTGCATCATCCAGCTTCTCTGAAGAACTGAATACCTGCTCAATGTCACCCAGGCAGAAGAGCTGTGGTGGCTGGAGGCTCAGAACACGGAGAGGGGAGGACTACAGCAAGAGATCGCCAAAACACAGGCCACTCCTGGAAAACATCTGGCAGGAGAGCCAGCAGGATGTGGTACGAATTAGCCAGAGGGGACCCTGTGATGGGATCCCAAGGACAAGGGGCCACATGGAAGAGAGACACAGAGACGAGGCTGGGTGGGGACCCTCCACCATAGCCTCCACAATTAGCCAGGCATGGTGGTAGGTGCCAGTAGCCCCAGTTATTTGGGAGGCTGAGGCGGAAGAATTGCCTGAGCCCAGGTTGAGGCTGCAGTGAGCTGTGAGCATGCCACTGCACTCCAGCCTAGGTGGCAGGTATTCAAAAAATAAATATTACTAACTAAATAAATGTAAATAAAAATTATAATTTTCTTAGAAAGAAAGCTGATCAACTTAACAAGGCAAGAAAACTATTTCCACACATCTTAAATCTGATCTGGATAATGACTTGAAATTTTAACTTTAAACATTTGAGCTCCCTGCCACCAAGAAAAAATGTGCACCTAAATAAGACAGTTACAATACCTGCTTAAAATAAAGGCAACACCACACTCTGAGGAATCTGATGGAATGTCTTTTTAACTTTTTATTTTGAAATACTTTCCAAATTATGGAAACATTAAGAACAGTTCAGAGAACATCCACACACTCCTTACCCAGATACACCAGATAAATCTTTTAAGATTTTGCCACATTTGTTTACATCAAGCAATATGAAGGAATCTCTCCTCTGTTACTCTCCTCTTAGAAGTTGTGCCACTTGAAAGCAAAGAGCAGTCACCCATCTGTGCGGGACACTGAAGTGACAGGGTATAGCTTCTGACCAAATGGCCCTGAGCAAGGCTTGCCTGGCGTCCAACAGAGAACCTAAGGCCGGACGCCCAGGCCCCACTGTGCTCCCCACGCCATGAGCAGACAGTGAATGCTCATCAGAGGCTGAGTGGACGATGGATGGATGGAGGGATGGACAGATGAACGGACAAACGGACAGACAGGTGGACAGATCAGAATGAAGAGTAACTACATGAGCAGTAGGAAGGCCGCATGGACAGCCTGCAAGTGCTCCACACAGACACCCATCTCTTCATCATTTGGCTTCCTTTGATTGCTGAGTCCTCAGTTTCCACATCTACGTAGGCATCAATGACATGGAATGATGGGGACCTGTGAGGCCTGGCTCACTGGCTATGGACCAGTCCGGGGTCCCTCGTCCCCATGCTGCAAGTCAAACTCTGCCCCTGCCCAAGTGGGTCTGAGTGCAGCACTGGCTGGGGCCCAAGGCAAGGACTGGAAGGCAGAGGCCACACAGTACCAGGGCAACATGGGACTGACCTGGGGGTGTGGGCAGAACCTGGTCCTCCAGATCCACAGGGAGTCAGCCTCATGCCATTCAGCGGGTCCCCAGAGGCAGGCAGGGGGAGGCTGCGCTCATCCTTCCTAAGCAGGGCCTGGGCTCTCAGGGCTCCGGACAGGGTCATTTTAAGAACGGTTCAGAGAATGTCCCCACACTCCATCTTTTAAGATTTCACATCAAGCAATATGATATAATCTCTCCTCAGTTACTCTCCTCTTAGAAGTTGTGTCACTTGAAAGCAAGAGCAGTGACCCATCTGTGTGGGGCGCTAAAGTGACAGGGTGTAGCTTCTGACCACATGGCTCTAAGCAAGGCTTGCCTGGGGTCCAACAGAGGACCTAAGGCCAGGTGTCCAGACCCCACCATGCTCCCCACGCTGTGAGCAGCCAGGTTTTTCAGTCCTCTTGGGGTTCCAGGGCAGGGTTCTCTTCCTGCCCTAGAAAGGGTCCCTGACTCACGGTGAAACCCAAACTCCTCTGAGTGGGAGGGAGACAGAGTCTCCCCCAGGAAAGGTCCTGTTCTGTCAAGTTCTGCTGCTTTAGAAATAAAATTCCAGCCAGGTTCGGTGGCTCAGCCTGTAATCCCGCGCTTTGGGAGGCTCAAGTGAGAGGATTGCCTGACCCTGTGGGTTCGAGACCCACCTGGGCAACTTGGCGAGACCTCATCTCTACAATAAATCAAAAAATTAGCCGGGCGTGGTAGTGCACACCTGTAGTTCCAGCTACTGGAAGGCTGAGGCGGAAGGATCGCCGGAGCCTAGCAGGTCGAGGCTGCGGTGGCCGGGAGCAGCCACTGCACTCCAGTCTGGGTGACAGAGTGAGACTCCAACTCAAAAAAAAAAAAAAGAAAGAAAATTCCACAACTCAAGAGGGAGGAGCTGGGATGCTGGGACTCAGAGACTCGGGACTCAGGAACTCAGGGACAAAGGCAAGGGCAGCTCGATGCTCTGTGGTGTTAGGGACTCAGGGCAAGAACAGCTCGATGTTCTGGGGACTCAGGGCAAAGGTGGCTTAGTACTCTGGGAACTCAGGGATTCGGGACAAGGGTAGGTCAGTGGTTTGGGGACTCAGGGACTCAAGGCAAGCATAGCTCAATGTTCTGGGGACTCAGGGAAAGGGTAGCTCAGTGTTCTGGGGACTCAAGGCAAGGATGGCTCAATGTTCTGGGGACTCAGGGCAAGGGTGGCTTGCTGCTCTGGGGACTCATGACAAGGGTGGCTCAGTCCTCTGGGGACTCAGGCAAGAGCAGCTTGATGCTCAGGGACTCAGAGTAAAGGTGACTCGGTGCTCGCGGACTCAGGGAAAGGGTAGCTCAGTGTTCTGGGGACTCAAGGCAAGGATGGCTCAATGTTCTGGGGACTCAGGGCAAGGGTGGCTTGCTGCTCTGGGGACTCATGACAAGGGTGGCTCAGTCCTCTGGGGACTCAGGCAAGAGCAGCTTGATGCTCAGGGACTCAGAGTAAAGGTGACTCGGTGCTCGCGGACTCAGGGACTCTGCAAGGGCAGCTCAGTGCTCTGGGGACTCAGGGCAAGGATTGCTCAATGCTCTGGGGACTCAAGGCAAGGGTAGCTCGATGCTGTGGGGACTCAGGGC